TAATTCAAGTTAAATAAGCAAAGTCTTAATCAAACTTTACTCAATTGTAAAGGATGTATAAAGGAAATATTTAGAATAAAGCCAATATATAAACTTCCTTTCCGTATAGACGTATTTACGTCAAATTCTCCCGGAACCGTGTTTCCACTATCACTTTTTATTTACCTAAAGATTACACGTCATTTAACTCACTAACTTGAGTACCTTGGGTTGTGACGCTTAATACACGCCTGCTGTAAGTAAAAAATGATACATACTTCATACAAGTGAAACGATAAACATTTCGCTCAAACACCATGTCAGTTCATGATAGGGTTTGTCGGTTTTTAAAAACCGGGTTTAGAAACCGTCTTTTTTGTATAAATTTGTAAAATTCGAAAACCGGTTTTTAAAATTTAAAAAACCGGATTTAGATACTAGAATTAATATTGAAAAATTAGTTAATTAATTAATTAATTAAAAACGTTAATATTTTGACTTGAAATCGCCTCGGGCACAAGAATATTGCAGTAAAACTAATCTTCATGAGTCAGGCGAATGTTTGACATGCAAATCCACAAACGCATTCTATTTTTAATTTCGTGAAAAAGAGCAGTTTGGAAGAAATTATAGAAAGATTTGCTGCAATGGATGGATTGTAAATTAATAGCATTACAACGAGCTCGTTCATACGAGAGTCTTTGCAACAACGGGGATATTCATTACCAAGAAAAAACTCTCGAGTAATGGATCTCATTCATGCGTCTTATGACAATGACGAACGTGAAATTATAAATGAATTGGATTGTATTTAGAAGATTGGGAAAAAATTTTCTATAACTTTAGATGAGTGGACTATCAAAAGATATCGCAGATATTTGAATATCAACGTACACCATTTTGCGGAAGATTTTAATTTGGGCTTAGTTCCTTTAGCTAGTTCCTGCGATGCTAAGAAAACATTAGAATTAGTTTCTGAGAGGCTACAAATTTTTAACTTGGATCTAGCAATTGACATAGTTTATAATTCATATTTTGTACGGATTTTAGTTATTTTAGTTTTTTTATTTGATTTTGTATAGAGTATATTTTATTTTGTTATATTTTTGTAGTTCCATAAATATTAAATAAACTGAATTTTTTTTAAAATAATTACATATATTTTTTTAACGTTTTAACTATATTTTGTTTTTGTTTTTGTTTTTTTTAAAAATTCTAAAACCGGTTTAACCGTTTTTTTTTTGGAAATACTGGAATTCGAATCCGTTTTTTTTTCAAAAGTCGGTTTTTGTATAAACCCTAGTGGATGAATTAGACCTAATAGTACCTTCTTTTAGGTTGGAAAGCAAATTTAAACCAAAAGTATCTTGCATAAAGTTAACAAGTTCAGAATTGTAATCATCCTTGACGTTCATGTTAAATTACATGTGGCAAACAGTAGGCAAGTTTTCATGAAGATTTGGGGTTTTTGTACATTTTATTAGATCATCAGGAACTTGCGATATCTACTATAAAAATATCAAGGAGTTAAGTTTGAAGCCACATACTCCAAGTTGTTATTATTGAAAGAATTTGATCTGGGTTGTCACGTGGAATGGTGGGGCCACCGGCCGAAGGCCATCAACTATTATGGGCCTCCTCTGTTGGATACAGTCGATATCAAGCGCTCCCGCTGAAGGTATTCCGCGTAGCTGACCTCATAAGGCAGGTAACACTAATTCTTGGCTTATACGCGTTACAGATTTTCAAAATTTATTTAATTATCCCCTTTTACGTTTCGCACGCTGTGTCTCACTTGAAAACACTGGGCTGGATTTGTTTTATTTGGCGATTTGTGAAAGAAAAGTTTCTCGCCATCTGTCAGCTGTTAAAAGTAATTTTTTTCAACAATACAGATTACAGGATTCCATAGAAATTTTCGAATAAACGAAGTCTGTTTTTGAGTGTAATTAATCATGCAAGGGGCTAACAAAAGAGACTGATATTTGCATCTGTTGACATTTTTGCTGTTCTGTAGAATTCCTTTCAACAGATGGCAGAACTAACGCGATGTTAGATATTTGAAACAGTTCTCGTGGTGTTTATTGCAGGGAATTTTATTACTGAAATAAATAATTCCCGATAATAGAGCAATATATTTACGTTTTGTTAACAGTTTGCAAAATATAACTTTTTTCTGACATTTCAAAATTCCGAAATGAAACGTCAGAAATCTCTCTTATTACCACGATTCAGTCTGGAAGGTAAAATATTATTAAATCTTCCATTCCTTGAATTGAACGTAACACGAAAAATTCACACGACGCCAAAATGTCTCAACAGTAGGCTAAAATTAAGTTCATAAAGGTCTCAATTAGAATCCCCACTTGTCTCTTAAAGTCACAGGGTGGCCTGTATAATATTAACCATTTTTATCATGGAGACGTGTTGTGTTTTATTTGAGGTAGGGACTGAATTTTTTAATATTATCCTCCATGTAATGTGATATTGTTGTTTTGGCAGGATGTTTCGTCGACAGTTGGTTGCCTTGTCTCGACTGTACAGTCAGTACTTAGGCAATGGTTACCCTGACCGGAATTCAAACCCACACGATCCGCCAAGAATTCTTATAACAGGTCTGTATTTCATGGCAGCCACAATACGTAAATATCAATAATTGAAGGCCGCATTTCAGGGAGGACGTCGATGCCTTTTTCGTGTTTATTTTAGAGCTTCGAGAACTTTTTACGTTCTCCGAAGCTTTCATCTCTGACACGGATATCGGAAGTCATCGGACTGAAGTTATTTTGCATGTTTTCAGGAAGCCTGGGGCAGCTGGGAGTCGAAGTAGCGAGGTTTCTGAGAGGAGTATATGGCCAGGAAAACGTTATAATGTCCGATATAATCAAGCCCAGTAATGAAGTGTTTAATGAAGGTTAGTATCTGCTTTTTCAGCTGACAAGGTTATATTAACTATTATTCGTGAATGGTGAATAGGAAATAATAAGGTAATAAAACGGTCGTGGCTTATTTTAAAGTGCATCGTATTTCTGCGGTGATCAGGAGAATTATCAAAATATGTGGCAGTAAGTTCTGAAAGCCTCGGCGTAAGAAATGACCTGATACTCGGTTGCCTGATTGTGATGACGGAAGTTCTAACCTAACCTAACTAATCTAACCCAATCTAACCTAACAAAACCTAACCTACCCCAACCTAACCTAACCTAGCCTAACCTAACCCAACCTAACCTAGCCTAACCCAACCTAACCCAACCCAACCCAACCCTACCCTAGCCTAACCTAACCCAACCTAACCTAGCCTAACCCAACCTAACCCAACCCAACCCAACCCTACCCTAGCCTAACCTAACCCAACCTAACCTAGCCTAACCCAACCTAACCCAACCCAACCCAACCCTACCCTAGCCTAACCTAACCCAACCTAACCTAGCCTAACCCAACCTAACCCAACCCAACCCAACCCTACCCTAGCCTAACCTAACCCAACCTAACCTAACCCACCCTAACCTAACCTAACTAATCTAACCCAATCTAACCTAACCTAATCTAACCTAATGTAACCTAACCTAACCCAACCTAACCCAACCCAACCTAACCTAACCTAACCTAACCCAACCCAATCTAACCTAACCTAACCTAACTAATCTAACCCAATCTAACCTAACCTAATCTAACCTAATCTAACCTAACCTAAACTAAACTAACCTAACCTAACCTAACAGCACCGAGCTTGGTGACTGGGAGGCTGATGGTCGCCGAGTCGGTCGATAAATGTGGAGCTACATCGTTATGTTTTAAGTGCAACGGTTACTTAATATCTTGCAGGTCCTTTCATATTCGCTGACATACTGGATTTTAAGGGACTGCAGGAAATTGTGGTGATGCATCGTATTGATTGGCTGATACACTTCAGCGCATTGCTTAGTGCCATAGGCGAGCAGAACGTTCCATTGGCCATCAGAGTCAACATTGAAGGTGACGAGGCATCTAACCTAACCAACTAACTAACTAACCAGCCAGCCAAGAATGCGACTAATTCAGAAACCTTTTTGAGAAGCTGTTTGTCAACTGTAATGATTCCTTCTCTGGCTACCAGCCTTGTCAGGTGATCCACGGAGAAAACACCGACGTTTCGAGAACCATCTTTGTCATCAGTGGACTGAAGTCAGCACCTGACACGGCTGGTAGCCCGAGAAGAATTCGCCGTCAAAGCCTCAGACCTTTTCGTGTAAGTCAACCAGCTGATAAAGATACCTCTGAAATGTTAGGGGCAGCTGAGGCTCACTGAAACAGGGAATGGCTTAAAAAATTTGTGGTAACTTTTACGTGACTTGAAGAATTGGTGTTTTTGCAGGCGTACACAACGCGATCGAACTGGCGAAACAGTACAAATTGAAGATATTTGTACCAAGTACGATAGGGGCATTCGGACCGGAATCTCCCAGAAACCCAACGCCGAATGTGGCAGTCCAACGCCCGAAGACGATATACGGTGTTTCTAAGGTCCACGCGGAGCTTCTGGGGGAATATTATTTCCACCGGTACGGCCTCGATTTCCGTTGCCTCCGCTTTCCTGGTGTTATTTCCAGCGACCCTCCGGGTGGAGGGACCACTGGTGAGTAAAAACTTGAAATTTCAAAATGGCAGTGCCTACCGTATCACGGACGATGGATGTGGATACCAACGTTTCGGAAGAACATATTACTTCCATCTTCAGGGTTGAAGATAGAGAACTAAAATATCACTTGTATGTAATATATTTTTTGTGTCCTATTACCATCGAGGGTTACTAATACTGAAATATTTTGTAATTAACGGCTGCTCGCGTGGTTGAGAATGAATAGGCGCTAACCCTTCCCCTGAGCGCCTACTTGGCGCATAGCGGCATACCTTTCCTTTTTTGACGTAAATACGTCTATATTTTAGGGTCAGTGTCATTCGGCAAAAAGTGTTACGAAATAGTGTAACTGCATTGTTATTTTACCTAGGAAACGTCATCTGTTTACTCGGAATTGTTGTTACCTAAGAAACGTCATCTGTTTACTCGGAATTGTTGTTACCTAGGAAACGTCATCTGTTTACTCGGAATTGTTGTTACCTAGGAAACGTCATCTGTTTACTCGGAATTGTTGTTACCTAGGAAACGTCATCTGTTTACTCGGAATTGTTGTTACCTAGGAAACGTCATCTGTTTACTCGGAATTGTTGTTACCTAGGAAACGTCATCTGTTTACTCGGAATTGTTGTTACCTAGGAAACGTCATCTGTTTACTCGGAATTGTTGTTACCTAGGAAACGTCATCTGTTTACTCGGAATTGTTGTTACCTAGGAAACGTCATCTGTTTACTCGGAATTGTTGTTACCTAGGAAACGTCATCTGTTTACTCGGAATTGTTGTTACCTAGGAAACGTCATCTGTTTACTCGGAATTGTTGTTACCTAGGAAACGTCATCTGTTTACTCGGAATTGTTGTTACCTAGGAAACGTCATCTGTTTACTCGGAATTGTTGTTACCTAGGAAACGTCATCTGTTTACTCGGAATTGTTGTTACCTAGGAAACGTCATCTGTTTACTCGGAATTGTTGTTACCTAGGAAACGTCATCTGTTTACTCGGAATTGTTGTTACCTAAGAAACGTCATCTGTTTACTCGGAATTGTTGTTACCTATAAAACATTACCTTACATTTCATTACATTACATTCAACTACCACAGACCCATCTTAAGCGTAACTAATTCAAGTTAAATAAGCAATGTCTTAATCAAACTTTACTCAATTATAAAGCATGTATAAAGGAAATATTTAGAATAAAGCCAATATATAAACTTCCTTTCCGTATAGACGTATTTACGTCAGATTCTCCGGAACCGTGGTTCTACTTAGAAGCTTTTTTAACTGTACGCATGTACGTCATGGAGTCGTGGGACAAAACAGTTGAGCCTGTATATTATCAAATTAATACTTTCGTATCAGATGTTCAAGTTTGTTTCTTTGTTAGTTTTCTGTTTGTGGTATTGGTTTCAGATTAATGCTTTTCGATACGTTGAGTATGTGTTCAGAAAAAAAAGTTGATTCCCGGGGCATTTTATTAACCGCATTCCACAAAGCAGAAACTACCTGAGTCACACACAACTTGGTATCACATGAATGAAATACAGTGCATCGAAACAAAAGACGGTTCGCTCTTTCATGACCTGTTCGTCAAACTGGCGGCCCGCGGGCCATATCCGGCCTGAGACCACGTGTAATCAGGTTTCGCGAATGGATTGGTTAATTTGTAGGTAGTTATTGCAAGATATTTTGTTTTATTTTTTCGGAAGGATTAAAAAACCCTGTGATTCTTATCGTCTGTGTTGCATAATACTCGTAAATATCGATTATTTCCCTAAACGGCATTAACAAATCGATCTTTGTCGTGGAGACGCGTTGTGTTTTCTTTGAGGTAAGGAATGGATTTTAAAAAAAAAATATTTAGACGTCCTTTGGCTTAAAATGGTTAGTATAGTGAACTTCAGAGTAGATGTCGTATGAGAAATCGAAAGTAACGCATTTGCAAAGTATGTGTGAATTTGAGGTTTTCACGGCGGAGTCCGATGAGGCTGCCTTCTGGGTTCTAGCGCCGTGTAGTCGCCCTGATGATGGAGGCAGCAAGGACCTCCGAAACGTTGGTAACGGCGCTAGGACCCACAAGGCATCCACAACTAAGCACGCGTTCTGATTGTCGTGTTCAGATTACGCAGTGGCAATCTTTCACGACGTACTTCAGACTGGGAGGTTCGAATGCTACCTCAGCCCGGACACACGCTTGCCCATGATGTACATCAAGGATTGCCTCAGAGCCCTCTGGGAGTTCATGGTGACTCCATCAGCGAAGCTGAAGAGACGAGTCTACAACGTCACAGCTATGAGCTTCACTCCGGAAGAACTAGCCGCCGAGATAGCCAAGCAGGTTCCTGAAATCAAGGTCACTTACCGCCCCGACAGTCGACAGCTGATCGGTCAGTATGAAGTGTACAGTTTAAAGCGAAGGTACCTTGTTCTAAATAATTTTCCCAGGATACCTTGCGGCTAAGTGTCACTTCCACCTCAGAATTTCGCACTCATGTTGATTTTTTTGAAATTTAGAAAATACAAATGTGAGGCGATGTCTTGTGGCTTGATTGGTTCTTGCGAAGGGGTGGCCATCTGGAGGCTTTAAGGGGACCTTTGTCCATCCCCCATTTGATACACGCGTGAATATGTAAGCAGTGGTGGAATGTCACTTGACAGTAAAATCGAAGAACTTCGTCCATCACAAATCTCACGTGATCTGACACTGGCAAGAAGTCGGCCCTTCGCGGTGAGAAGCCGACGGCTAACCGCCTGAGCTATGGCACTGATCTTTTTGCATAATAAACCAAGTTTGATGAAATTCTATAAAATTTCTCAGAATTTATTATTGGGAACATACATTCTGACACAAAATCATAAACCATCAAACCCGAGTGGTAATTATATGAACCGCCTGCTTTAATAATCAGTAACTATTCATTTTGTATCATGTGTTTTGTGTGATTCCCGGTGTAAACAGCGATTATTTCCTTAAACAGCGTTAACCAGTTGATGTTTCGTAATGGTGAAGTGTCGTGTTTTCTTCGCGGTACGGGCTGGATTCTTAAATATAAGGAAGACGAACTTTGGCTTCAAAGGGGCAGGAGAATAAGAAATGTGGGTAGGAAGTTTAGAAGGTTGTGTTTACTGTAACCTGGGTCTGATGGCTGTGGTTCGTTCTGTGTGTCTGCAGCCGACTCTTGGCCGCAGGTGTTCGACGACAGCGCGGCGCGAGAGGACTGGGGCTGGCGGCATGAATACGACATTACGAAATTAGTGACGGCCATGGTCGACGATGTAAGTCGACAGAAGCGATTACGCCACTCAGTGAACGAATTATGAAACTCGAGTGAATAAATTACTAATAAATGTGTGCTTGTGAGTGTTTCAAGGTCACGGCGAAGTTGGACGAGAACCAAATTCAGCTGAAGTGACATTTCGTTTACGTGGACCTCAGACTGGGTGTAAATGCTTTTGGGCAGCACTGTGCTTTAATCATCACTGATTTCATGTTTGATGGGTTCTTTTTTGGTCTGGTATAACTGGTCGGTTCTCCAGGTAAGAAATAGGCCTGAGCCTACGGAACTCCCACGAAGGGTCTTTTCCCCTTAATACTGCATATGGGATTGTTGAATACTATGAAGTGATTTTGAATAAATGTTATTTTGAAATATGAAAATTAGTAAGGTTTTGAGTTTTTGACGGCGGTGAGTCAGAAGAAGGCTGTCTTCTGGGTTGTAGTGCTGTGAGGTCTGGTAGACTTTTATTGACCGACGATTCTGAGGTTCTTGCTGCCTCCATCATCGGGGCAGCCTGAAGATTGAGGCAGCAAGGACTGCCGCAGAATATAGACGCGTTTGAAGCACAGCTGACGATGTAGTTCTGGGTCAGAACCCAGAAGTACATCATTATCTTCACTGCAGTGAGAATATCTGTGTCATGCAATTGCTTAATTACGTCTGCGTGCCGGGCTGTGTCGATTGTACGCTGGATATATCGATACTGCGCAGTGAGTGAACTGGTTCGTCGCTGGTTGATCTGTCGCGTGCGGAGCTTTGAATACTCGTGTTTCGATGGGAGATATGATTTATTCAAGGCTATAAAAATGCAGACTCGTTTGTGTTCCGGGTTGTGACGCCGAATAGAATTGTAAGTAATTGCTGTAGTTTCGGAGGAACGTGTCGCCTTCATCTTCGTGTAATACTATCAATTCCTTCTGATCGTTACGGCAGGAATTTCTTATTTTATACTGATTACTAACTTCTGTTAGCTGATCGTGTTTCGTAACAGCAAGGATTAAGATGAAGTGATTGTCGCAAATACGCTTGTATGTATAAATATTTTAAAAGAAGATTTTACGAAATTTGCAAGACCTACTAGTAAACGCATATATTTGGTGCTGGGTAAGACGGGAAGGTCAAACATTACATCCGGTGTGGAGGAAATGCCGACACACAAATCTTGTGACCGACTGATTCTGTGTTTTAATTGATTTCGTAACCAAAATGTTCCCCGCTCCCGAAATCTGAAATTCTGTTTCACATTAGACTTGCTACCAACAGCTCATAAATGTGTCCGTATTTATCAGGTTGATATTTTTATCACGCTAGAGTTGACAACCGACGTTTCGAAAGAACACAGGTAAGTGTTTACCTGCGTTTCGACAAGAAAAGGATTCAGCTCAAGTTTCAGTGTTCGCCTTTGATTATGATTATCGCTCTACCACGCGACTGGTCAGACGGCGTAGCTCAAACACTTGCAGGTCGTCTTCCTCCCGCCTTTGGTTTTGACAGCGGATGTCCTGAGCAGAAGCAAGAGACTCTCAGTGTGACTTATGCCCAACTTCGTGGACTGTAGCAGAGTCCTTCTTCAGAAGCTAATAAATATCACGCTCAACACCCAGGATGTCCTTGCTCTTATGGCCGAAACGTCGTTGCTATGTTCACAATTTCGTGCCGTCGGTTCTTAACCTTGAGTCATGGCAGCACGGTCTACACCTCTAGATTAATTTATCTAAGATTTATTTTAATATTATCCTCCTAATTACTACGAGATATTCCGAGTTGTCGCTTCCTTTAGTCTTAAAGGCCAGACTCTTGTCCGTATTTCTCATCGCTCTGTTCGTGTCTCGTCATCCTTGATTTGAGCACCGTAATATGCAGGGAGGAATAAGAATTACGAATAGCTTCACTACGCATTTTTATCCAGCCTACTCTCATTTCATCTCTCTCAGACTCGGATATTCTTCTCATCAGCCTGTCCTTAGACACTCTTAATGTACAGTTCTGTATATCTTAATCTCTTCCCCCTTTAGACAGCAGACAGGAATGAAAAAGTTTATAAACTGAATTGTAGTAAGGGTTCCCTGCTTTTAATCTGTATTTAATCTCCTAGTGAATGCAATTTTGATTTATCTACATTGTTCCAAAATTATTTGACCTCTGACACATTTTCAAAGCATTTGTAGCTTCGTCTTGGAGTCTGGTGACGATACTCGAACGTGCTTTGTTTTTCTCTGCGTTAACTTCTGTTTCGTATTCCTCGCCTCACTTGTTATTTTTGACGTAAATACGTCTATATTTTAGGGTCAGTGTCATTCGGCAAAAATGTAACGAAAAAGTGTTACGAAAAAGGGAAACGAAAAAGTGTAACTTCATTGTTATGTTACCTAGGAAACGTCATCTGTTTATCAACAAATAAACAACAAAGGTTACCTATATAATTACCTTACCTTACCTTACCTTACATTACATTACATTTCATTACATTACATTACATTTCATTACATTACATTACATTCAGCTACCACAGACCCATCTTAAGCTTAACTAATTCAAGTTGAATAAGCAATGTCTTAATCAAACTTTACTCAATTGTAAAGCATGTATAAAGGAAATATTTAGAATAAAGCCAATATATAAACTTCCTTTCCGTATAGACGTATTTACGTCAAATTCTCCGGAACCGTGGTTCCACTGACAACTTTTTATTTGTAGTTCATCTGAACGCTGCCAGTTGTTTCACACCGTAAAATATCAAATGATTAATTGGAAAGGAATCGAAGAGAAGTAGTGACACGATTTTAATTACTATCACGGCATTTGCCTGGAAGGACCGGGGAAAATCACGCAGAATCTCTGTCAGGACAAGGCATCAGCTTTCAAATTCGTTGGTTTCTTCCGCGTGTTCTGTTTGCACGTGTGAATGTGCGTGTCTTCAGTACCGTTGCCATGGCAATGCCGTTAAGGGGTTTTGGGCCTCGTGGAATGAAATTTACGACCGTGGGCTTAAGTACTTTAGGACTTCCGTTTCAATCTTGTCGCCAAGTTTATTAGTTAATTTAATGATTACTTGTATATTCAGCTGAAGCACTCAGCGTTTGTCGTGCGCGAGATTGTAACGAGATACGGCCGATTGAAATGACACCCCGAAGTGTTACAGGTGTACTTCCCCGCAGTGACAAATCTGGGTCAGTCATAATACCAAGCGCAGTTTAGTTCTAAGCTTGTGCATCAACTTATAACGTCCATTTTCGGGTCAGGTATGTGAAATTGTTGGAATCGCATCCACAAAACACTTTGTTTTTCGTTACTGGCGTATGTTTGTTGATTTTTTTATTAATACAAGGTGCCATTACTGGATGGAGTCTACCGTTGCGAACATTTTCGTTTCAGTGGCCCAGGTTCGTTCAATCTGGTTTTCCTTTGACTAAAATGTCCGTCACTTCTCGACGCCGTTGCGTGAAAGTCTAAGCAGAACCAGAGAAACGTTTGTGTGTTTATGTCTGGTGAGTAAGAGGTCCGGAAGGAAGGGTGGTACTCTTCAGTTAACAAAGGACAATCGGTAAAAGTTTGGACACGGCCTTGAACGACGCGCACATAACACATTTTCAGTTTCAGAGGACTCAAGGTCACGCGTTTCATTACAACCAGAACTACTTCAGTGGTGCAAAATGTGCGTTGTCTATCTATAGACGTCACAAATAGACAACAATATTGCAGTGTTGTAAAACTGATCACCCGGAGTAGGAAATTATTTAATATATTTTAATAAAATCAAAATACGACCGCCACGGTGGTCTAGCGGTCAGAACGCTATCCTTGTTATCCTGGGGTCTCGGGTTCGATTCCCGGCGGTGCCCGAATTTATACCTTGTGTTGGCCAAGGCCGTGGTCTCGGCAACACGGAGTTTTCCTCCGTGGCATCCCAACAATTCCTCCATTCACACACAGAAGAAGGCAATGGCAACCCACTTCTGGATCATCTGCCAAGAACGTATATGAACAGGTCCCAGTCCGAGAAAAGGATGGAAGGATCCTGTTCATATGGACCTGTCGTCAGACAGAACACTGAATAATAAATACAAGGTGTAAGAGAGGTTGGATCGGAAACCAATGGTTTTTAAGCGTCACTTACTGTTAGTAAGGCTTGTTATCTGGTTTTGAAGGAATTACGTTTTTCAGGTTTTCAAAATGTTTATTTAATCTGTTTGTTTCTCCCTAAAATGAAACGTTTTTTTAAATGAAGCTGTTCTTCATTTAGGTAGTAAAGTGACGTAACTTCCTATAGCTCCAGTACAAGGTGCTTTGTCCCACAGCTGTAGGGTCAGGTCTCTCGTCCTTCAGTCAGAGCACCAGGTGCTTTGTTACGCAGCCTACGGCATAATGCCCCAGTTGACCTGTTCGGCCATGGGTCCCCTCACTCTGCTGGCCACATACATCATCCTGACGCTGAGTGTGGCCAGATGCCAGCAGTGGAACAAGACAGCAACACCACTTGTCATATTCCACGTCGGAGCTCACGTCAGATCCACATGCGTGTTCTTGTATTATAATCAGGAAAGCCTGATGCTAGGTAAGAATGGTTCCGTGCCATTTTATTTCCAACAAGATCTAAGATAAGTTGTTCTGTGTTCTGTAACAAGTGATACTTTCTTTCAGACAAAATTCGACTGCTTGTTCAGGTTCAGAAGGCGCTAACACTGAGACAAATGGCGTCTGCTGTTATTTCAATCGATCAGCTGATCGCACACCACCATCTCGGTTGCCGTAGCAACCGCCCTCTGTACGTCCTGTTCTCCAGTGCCACCCTGCTCCAGGTATAAAAATCATACAAATCCGCTTCTCCTGGCTTCATCTGTTTCGGGTTCCAATGTTAGGGCTGTCTTCAGAGCTGTTTCTGCACACCCTCTGACTTGTCCCCCCTCAGGCTAACGGATCAGGTTCCTCGCTCACAGAGCTGCCTTCTAAATTTGCTTTTTCAAAGCACGAAAGCATCTGTTGCTTACGAGAAGGAAATGGGATAATTTATTTACTGTTTTTATTCAGGTTTCATCAAAAGTTCGCCTTTCAGACGCGGTCTGGATTCTGTTCAGCAACTTTCAAGAAAAAGACGTAGAATCACTGCAAGAATTCTTTCACAACGTGTACATTCCTCTGGACTGCCATTTTCTCGTGGCGCACTCCCAGGGGCCCGACAACATCATCATCATCAGCGAAGTGTACCACGTGACTCGAGATCTTCCACTCGCCAAAAACTACTTTGGAATTTTGAGTCATGGGGCCTGGGTAACCTTGGCCACCATCAGCTTCTTCGAACGGAGGAATGACTTACAGGGCATGACCATGAAAGTTGCCACTATGACGGTAAGTAACGTGAGCACCGCGTGTTTCGACGTGGAGGATAGGCTCCACGCTTTCCTCGACCGCGGGTTTATATGGGGGGCGCGGGTGATCAGGTTGATGCTTCGGTATAATTCTGATTTTGGGTCGGCTCGTCACTGCCTGTAGGGTCAGGTCTCTCGTCCTTCAGTCAGAGCACCAGGTGCTTTGTTACGCAGCCTACGGCATAATGCCCCAGTTGACCTGTTCGGCCATGGGTCCCCTCACTCTGCTGGCCACATACATCATCCTGACGCTGAGTGTGGCCAGATGCCAGCAGTGGAACAAGACAGCAACACCACTTGTCATATTCCACGTCGGAGCTCACGTCAGATCCACATGCGTGTTCTTGTATTATAATCAGGAAAGCCTGATGCTAGGTAAGAATGGTTCCGTGCCATTTTATTTCCAACAAGATCTAAGATAAGTTGTTCTGTGTTCTGTAACAAGTGATACTTTCTTTCAGACAAAATTCGACTGCTTGTTCAGGTTCAGAAGGCGCTAACACTGAGACAAATGGCGTCTGCTGTTATTTCAATCGATCAGCTGATCGCACACCACCATCTCGGTTGCCGTAGCAACCGCCCTCTGTACGTCCTGTTCTCCAGTGCCACCCTGCTCCAGGTATAAAAATCATACAAATCCGCTTCTCCTGGCTTCATCTGTTTCGGGTTCCAATGTTAGGGCTGTCTTCAGAGCTGTTTCTGCACACCCTCTGACTTGTCCCCCCTCAGGCTAACGGATCAGGTTCCTCGCTCACAGAGCTGCCTTCTAAATTTGCTTTTTCAAAGCACGAAAGCATCTGTTGCTTACGAGAAGGAAATGGGATAATTTATTTACTGTTTTTATTCAGGTTTCATCAAAAGTTCGCCTTTCAGACGCGGTCTGGATTCTGTTCAGCAACTTTCAAGAAAAAGACGTAGAATCACTGCAAGAATTCTTTCACAACGTGTACATTCCTCTGGACTGCCATTTTCTCGTGGCGCACTCCCAGGGGCCCGACAACATCATCATCATCAGCGAAGTGTACCACGTGACTCGAGATCTTCCACTCGCCAAAAACTACTTTGGAATTTTGAGTCATGGGGCCTGGGTAACCTTGGCCACCATCAGCTTCTTCGAACGGAGGAATGACTTACAGGGCATGACCATGAAAGTTGCCACTATGACGGTAAGTAACGTGAGCACCGCGTGTTTCGACGTGGAGGATAGGCTCCACGCTTTCCTCGACCGCGGGTTTATATGGGGGGCGCGGGTGATCAGGTTGATGCTTCGGTATAATTCTGATTTTGGGTCGGCTCGTCACTGCCTGGTTTATGCAACGGGACGGCAAGGCAGTTGAATTACGCAACACGCAGCCTTTGTGTCTCGCACTTTGCATCGGGCAATTTGTTATGAATCATAATTTTGTTTTCCTACTCAAAACCGAAGTTGGTCCGCACTTTTCTGCGCAGCGAGAACATGTGACTAGTTCATCGTCAAATGTTTAATCAATATTCCATTTTTAACCTCTGACACGTGAAGGTTACAAAAAAATACACCCATTAGCTTCACCATAACTGTCTTTATTTCTGTCGAAAGCTTCGAAATTTGGTCAAAGCAGTCAACAATAACAGACGCTTTATTGAGGATCTACATGCGGTTCTGTTCGCGGCTGTAGGGGGATCCCCACCCAGTCTTTTAGCTAACGTGGGGAATCCTCCGCAATGACATTAGCCAGTGAGACAGGCGTCAGACGTCAAACCTACGTAAATATAATTGGGCCCACATTTCCTGACTTGATAGACGTAAGACATCTGTGGCTGTTAGCTGACCAGAATCCCAGAAAATCTTTAAAAAATGGTTACACAGATGTTGCCATTGTGTGTTGCCTCATTACGAAGAATTATTTTCTCGTAAGTGACACTGATAAGCGGAGTGTTTCGATTTATTGATACCGACTTCCATCCCTAGTTCCAGTTTAGCCTATTTAAGGCAATCCTGACGAAATAAATTTAGAGAGCGAGCATAAATTAAGTCCCGATTTAAAGAAATACTCAAGCACCTGTAAGAATTTACATTTTGAAAATAAACTTGAATTTCGCAGCAATATGATGTGCTTCTTATCATGTCTGCTGCTTTATTTATTATATAGTTATAATTTCTTTAAATAAGAACGTAATTGTGACTCACCCTGTATATATTTCTTTCAATTTGCTGCGACTAGATTAAAATGAAGGATTATCGAGTAATGCAATGTAAGAAAAGAGAATGAATCTGTGAACTGTGATTGCAGTGGATATTTTAATCTCTGGCCCAGAAGTGAGCATCGTATTCGCTGCTTTTACTGACAACCTTTGGGTCTGTGTTAACAGGAACCACCAGTCACCATTGTGAAGACAGTAGACGGTAGATTAGTTCTCGAGGGATTTTTCGGAAAGGTGTGGCAAGTTCTGGAGAAAAGGATGAACTTTACGTGAGTGCGGGCCGTGTTCATTGCACGTTACATTACGTTACATTTACATTTATTTGAATACATTCCAAGGCATATTTATCCCAGTGCTTATTAGGATATTTCTTTAGGTTTGTCATACTAGAGACGGCACAGAGTAAAATCATGCTGAAATAAGGCTGTGACTATTGGAAGGTTGGTAGAACTGGTTTAGGATTGTGTCCAGTGGCGGTTTTCGTTCTTAGTATCAGTGGCGTTGAACCTTGGGGTTCGATTAGAGAATTTTTTTGTTGCTGTTACGAACGCAGGTCGGAGTTCATCATGCCCGCAGACAGGGCGTGGGGCTCGCTTGCCCACAATGGCTCGTGGAACGGGATGATGGGCATGATCGTGAGAGGAGAAGCGGAGATCGCGGTGGCCGAGTTCACGATGACCGCTCTGAGGGCTGAAGCCGTGGACTTCACGGTCCCTCTCATCAACACCAGGTTCACGGCTGTTTCTTTGTCGCCTTATATGGGGCATCGGTCAGTCGCGAGGCCTCTGCCTGCAAAGGACAGTGGAGAAACTTTTATTTTCTTTGATTCTAGTGGTTGTTAAATGACGTTTTTGCGTCTGGATAACCTGTCATACTTTTCAGGAACTGTGTGTTGATAAGGCAGATAAGCGGGGAAAAGGACCCGACGTGGTACGGTTTCCTGAAGCCCCTCAGCTCGCAGCTGTGGGCGCTGGTGATCCTGACCCAACTCGTCATCATTCTCTGTCTTAACGTGGTGAGGCGTCTGAAGTTGCGGTGCCTCGGCCGAAAATCATCGGATTCGCGAGACGACGGGCACTTCGCAGCCCAAATTGTGGGAATATTCTTTTTACAAGGTCAGCCGAAAGTAAGAGGAAGAAGTTTGGTGATCGGATTGATCTTGGCTGATTGGCTGATTAATTAAATAACAGAACTGACTCAGTAACTGTAAATGTCTCGCTACTTGACTGACCACGAATTTAATTAATTAACTCTTGAAAACCTAGTGGTAACTATATGTACCACAAACGAACAGTAACTGTGCATTTTATCCTCAGAGCAAACAGCGATTATTTCCTCAAACAGCGTTAGTAGCTTTATCGTTTCATGGAAACGTATTGTGTCCTCTTTGCGGTACGGACTTAGTTTTAACTATTGTTTAGACGAGCTTAGGCTTCAAAGGTTTGAATGATTGTCATCATGACTCTTTGTCAAACGAACTCAACTGCTGACTCACTGGTTTATTGCTTAAGTAACTGATTAACTCGCTGTCTCGCAGCGCCGCTAAGTAATTACTACAGTGATTTACTGACCAATTAATTAATTAATTAAATACCCTTCTGCTCTATCCTGAGACAGTTTTATTGTTCTCCAATCTAATCCTTGGTCTTCCAAAAACGCATTCCCGTGTGTGACTTGATTTCAGCCACGAGCCATAGAAATTGAATGCATTTCAGGTGTGAATGTGAAAACGGGGTTTTGTTCCGAGCGAGTTCTGTACCTGGTAGCTCAGTTGTCAGCTCTCACCATCCACACGGCATACGCGGCCTTCCTGATCTCCTGCCTCACCGTTCACAAGTTTTCACTGCCCTTCGACTCTCTGCGGGAACTCATCGATATTGGCACTTACAGGCTGGGAGTTCTGGCGAACTCCGGCCAACTGAACATCTTCAACGTGAGTCACGTGATCTTCTTACACCGCCGCGGCGGTTAGCAACGGTTGCCAAGGACGTAAATAAAGACGTCTTCTGTTCAGAGGGAAGCAATTGTAATGCGGGCCTGCGAAAATAAGGCGAAAGCGACTCGTAAGAAGATACGACATCGGAAGTGCGTTCGAGTTGGCACATTGGAGGCCCTCACAAAACCTAGTTTGAGGATTGTCTTGTGTAGATAGTGACCGACGTTTCAGGGGTGCTTTCTGCCTCCGGTGCCAGAGCCCATCGCCCTGAGGCACCAAGCACTCATGAAGATTCTTCAGCAAAGACTTCTATAGGTTACTTATCTAATTAATCCTGCTTAGTAGTTTGATTCTTAATGACGCAGGAACGTGATTGGTCACTAGCCATCGGATTTTCTTCATCAATAAAGTCTGGGAGAATTCTGCGTCGTCTAGTAACTTACTTAACTTAGCTACTTAGTTACTTAGTTACTTAGCATTAGGTCTTCGTGATTAAGATTTGATGTAGGTTAGGTATTTATCACCTCTGCTGCTTAGTAATTTTGATATTCGATAACTTAACTACTTGGTAAGTTAGTTTAGTTACTTGGTTCCTTAGCAACGAAGTTAGTGATGGGACTTGCTTCCAGAATGCGACAGATGATCTGATGAGAGAGGTGTACGCGAAGCTCATAGCTCCAGACAAGGACAATCTTCCGATTAGTATTGAAGAAGGGATGCAGCGCGTTTGTGACGTCAATTGCTACGCGTTCATGACGTCACTGGACGTTGTCCTGGGACTGCTGGACAACATCACATGCGAACTGTCCAGCGTCCTGGGCGCGTCTATACCAGAAAGTCTGGCAATGTCGGCCATCAAGCAGAGTCCATATTTGGGCCTCATAAATCACAAGTGAGTATCTACTGGTACGTGGTTTCCCCCCAAAGCGCTCACCCATCTTCGTGCTGACCACGTTCAGGTGACACTTTGTTCTCGCACGCCCTCAATCTGTGTTCGTCCGTCAGTGACACTCGTCGTTTGTTCCAGCCTCAGGGCGATGTTTCGCAGTGGTGTCCTCAAGAGGTTGCGGGCTCAAGAATGGCCCACGGAATTACCGCCCGCGACAGTTCTCTGGGTTCCCGTCGACTTGCCGAGCACACTTCCCTTCCTCGCGGTACTTGGTGGCGCCCTCTTGGTGTCTGCCTTGCTTCTGACAGCAGAGAGACTTCTAGGGAGACGTCGTCAGTCAGTGTCTTGCAAAGTTTTCTGTCCCAAGAATGCTCTGAGCTCAACAGCTGCTAATTCTACCGCGAACTCAGGAGGGATTTTTCTGTTACTCTGACTGGCCTGCGTCTTGTATACTTAAGAAAGATTACATCATTGTTCCGCAAACGTTGTTTACCCGCGGCACTCTCAGATTTGTCAAAGACACATGACGGCACGCCACAAGATGCCGATGATGGAGGCAGCAAGGACCTCTGAAAAGTCACATCCCAGTTCAGTGTCCTACCGAGTTTAACGGAATTTATTTATTGATTATTAGGTTATTTAACGACCCCGTTTCAGCTACAGGTATTATATATAATGTAGAATGATATAGCTTTCCTTTTTTTAAGTTTACAATGAAAATCATACGAAGCACGTAAATACAAAATTAAGAATTTTGTTTGTTGAAACAGCAGGTACAGTTAATTAACGCGTAATTTTGTGGGGCTAAACACAACACTTCTGTTACGTAATTAAATAATTAATTAATTAGTTATTAACATTATTTTATGTGCAGAGACGGAAAATCACTGAAGGACCTTTTTAATTTTGCATAGTCCGAAACGAAATTCCACCATTTTAATGCAGAACTCTGCATTGAAATGGCGTCTGCAGCTGCAGCGGTCGAAAGAAAATTACTTTTCAGCAAGAAAAAACTAAAAATACCCAGAATTCCTCATGCAGAAGACAAATGAAGACAAAAACCTTGGGTGTCTGCAGACACACAAGATTGTGCATGATGGCGGCTGTTTCGCTTTGCAGAACTCTGATGTTCCTTTCAAGGGTTTATATCCTTCCATGATAACAAATAGGACAAGATTTCGACGCATAAGCGAGTTCCTTCTAGTGTCACTACGACCTCGACCAAGTATAGTCGCAAATATCTTACAAAGAAACGTAAAATATGAGACCACTTTGTTGTGTGGGACGTTAATAGATGGCGCAGCATGACAAGGACGACGACATCGGTGGAGGAATTATATCTGACGCGTGACATACCACAGCGACAGGAAGCTAAAGATTTAATAACTACTTTATACCAACGTGTAATCGTATAGATCAATTCAAGGTGCAACAAGAATTATTTATGTCGCTAAGAAATGCAACTACTTAATTTCAGACGACTTTGTGATGGCGGACAAACGCGTCGCCTTCACATTCAGGGTGAGTCGGAGGTGAACCTTCCCCCTGTGACGTTGGCAACCATCAGGGCAAATGATTACTTGATAAAGATGTGTAATGAAGCCATCATGGCTTGTTGTGAGATTATCTGTTGACGTTTTGATTGGAGGCACAGAGAATTACAGATTATCCGAGCCACTTCTGATACTAAGCCGTTGTGTGACGCTCGGTGGATCAAGGATGTGATACATTTTGGGTAAAATAAGTACACACTCTTTGATTTTAAAGTTAATTAGATAGATTTACTGATTTGAAAAGTATATGCCAATTCTGAGAACTGGAAAAAAAATGTTGGACAGCCATTTTGATTGAAGGCAGCGAGACGAATACCAGCACAAAACCTGCAACAAGGACACTTTGCATTACTGAAGAAGCACTCGAGAAATGCAGGCGAAATCGAAAGTTCTTTGAATATTAATCTCGCCCACATAATCCGGTCTCTGGCTACGGCCGAGATAAACGGTCGAAGCGTGAAGCTGATCGTTCATCTGCGTATTTACAGTGAGTAGAGCTTTACCTCCACGTCTGTCATACGCCTTCGTAGCGTGTTGCATACGCAGAAGGTTACGTTATATGAGCGTAACTCTTAAATACTTATTTATATATTTAGGTGTTGCGAAGAAATGTTTGCCTTTGTGTTCGGTAATTGTTCGTTTGTTAAACGAGACTACGCCATACAACTGTGGAATGTTGGTAAATTATTAATATTTTTGACCAATCTGGGTTGTCGAGAAAATTCGTCAAACATTTCCATGCTACGCACGAGATATCTCGCTTAAAATTACAGCTGTACTGGACGTGTTTAACTTTCGAACAGATCAGTTTAGGACAACTCTCACGCCATCCGTTAGGAGTTAAAGCTGCTTATAGCGATTGATCGATAAAAATTATGCGCTGCTTTGGATTTAACCTTACATGGTTCTTTAAGTTGGATGAATATGAGATCGTACCTTACTTATTCATTATGCCCAGTAAGTTAAGTGAATAAGAAGAGACCTGATATTTATGTTCTTGGGTTCTGTTCCCGTGCGGTCCTACGATTGAATACTAACAGCGGGCAAGAATCCATAAGTTTAAATTTTGTTGTTGTTGTTGTTGTTGACTAGTGCTTAAAAAATGATGGAATAAAATGTAGCACGAATAATTTGCAGAAATTTTGTGTGACTGTGCAGTCCAGTCCACACTCTGAAACCCTCTCTCCCTAAGAACCATTTATTGTATTTCCATCCATGTATAGATCTTCCGAGTGGGCTCTTTCTTACAGGCTTCCCAACCAAAGTTCCTTGTTCATTTCTCATCTTTTACATGCGTGCTACATGCTTCACAAATGAAATGAGATTGCGTGACGCGGTGTCCTTCAACAGATAAACTTTCGTGACTCTTTCAAGGATAGAATTTAATCGTTATAATTACAGAAATCGGATTGTCGCCATGTTTGCTAAAGGCCGTTGATTCTAGGACTCAGTTCGCCTGAATGAATAGGTTAGCGTCTCGGATTTTGAGTTACTTTGGGCGAATCCCAACGTCTAAAGGGTTAAACGTTTAAAGCCCAATGGTAACTATATGTACCACATGCTTCGAGAATCAATAACTCTTACATCTTGCATTTGTGTGTTTCATGTGATTCTGATTGTAAACAGCGATTATTTCCTTAAACAGCGTTAACCAGTTGGTCTTTTGTAATGGTAAAGTATAGTGTTTTCTTCGCGGTACGGACTGAATTCTTAAATATAATTTAGAAGAGCTTCGGGCTTCATGCAAGATATCGGAAGTCGTCGCATGTCCGAGTGCCGTAGATTCTCCTACCTGTTAACGGCCGTAGTATCCGTAGCCAAGGGAAGAGTAGGCGTAGGGGCTGGGGTAGGCGCCGTAGTAGCCAGATCCGTAGTATCCGGTACCGTAGTACGGGTACTGGGCCGCAGCCACGGCGATCAGAGCCAGGACGAGGAGGATCTGAAACACGGCACTTGTTAGATTTTGTTTCCAAGAAGTGTTGTCGATTGCGATCTTGTGACGCCGTATGTGGATACCGACGTCGCAGAGGAACGTGTCGCCCCCATCCTCAGGATTCAACCTTCCTCCGAGACGTTGGTACTTACCTATGTTACGGGCCAGAAGACCACAGTCGAAATCTTTACGCCCCGTGAAAACCCCGAATCTCTCATTAAACCCATTTTCAAAAGAATTCGCTTTTCCTGTCCTGAACGGGATCTATGTTTCCCCGTCTTCAGTTCCTTCTGAGATTTTAGTGGGAAATTACACACTAGTGGTAGTAATAGCTTGTAGTATGATCACTTACCAACTTGTACATGGTTGCAGTTTGTCGTGAGTTGTCTTACGGCAGAAGACTGATACATTCGTCTGCATTTCACAGTGTTTATATAGTCCGAAACTCGCAGGGTAAACTTACATAATGATCATCGTTAAATTCCCGATATATCCTTGGCCTTGTGCGTACAGATGTAAGACCTTGTGGATTTCAATATGGGTCCACGCCCAAGCGAAAAGGCCTATTTCTCACTTTTTCTTTGTGTAGAACCGGTGCGGATTACTTACAGTCTCGCATCGAACGGTAAACACGCCGAAACAAAGAGGTAAAACGCTTTTGTCTCGGGAGCTGGTAGAACTTGTGTGATTGCATTTTAACGAGCGGTCAAACTTGGTAAGTGTCCAAATAAAGACAAAGACTTCCTTTGATCCGCGTAAATCTTCCGACTTATTGTGTTGACTGACGAAAAGATACGATTATACAAAGCGTGTTTTAAGCGATGTCCTGTGAACTTTGATCACTACTCAGCACGTTATAAGTCCATGTTACCAACGTAGACAAAAAAAAAATACCACGTTAAAATCTGTCAGCTACGTATCTGCTGTGCAGAGACTGTAGAAGGAATCAAAAATAATCTCTTAAGTACTGAAAGAATAAAACCTATTTAATATGATAGGCTTAACAGTAGACGTGTGTATTCGTATCAGCCATAAGAAAAAATATTAAGATACTATAACACATTTTTATAGAACTTCGACTTCTTAACTGCTACATGGAAGTTAGTGTTATTTAATAATTAAATTATTCGCACTTATTGAACTGAAGTTATAAAAACTAAAAGAAGAATCTTTTCTATTATTTACCACAGTGGAGCCGCATGGTGATCGCTTTATGCATTATGCACAGTTGCCTAGCAACCAGATTACGAACTTAGAAACAGAGGAAGGAAATTAACTCCATGGGGCAGGGTATTTCCTGAGAATCTAACAGTTGCCCAGTCATTCAAGAAATTCCTCCCATCTACATCTAGGTCTTCCGAGGGTCTCCTCCTTTCAGGCTTAGTGTTGCAGGATCTGCTGTAAATGCATGCGAAGTGCGGGGAGGGGGAGGCTATTCATAACTCGCCGCAGTGCAGGATTACGCCACTTGGCCGCGGTAAATCCGAGGACGTCCGGGCAGTTAACAGAAATACGAGCAGTTCTAAACATTGAAATTTTCCAGTGTAATTTATTGCCCCGGACACAAGAGCGACAAACAATCCAGTCCAGGGTGTTATAAGAGCCCTCTCTACCTCAACGCCTACGTAAACAAATACATATGACGCCATTTCTGAAGTCGTCTGACGTAGCTACAAAATGGCGCCAGTGCTGTACGTACGTGTGTGTGCAAGGGAGTGTTCTTGTGTTTAGGCACGTAAATGCAAATTGAATACAAAGCACTGAACGGAAATCTTCTAAGATTCAGGCGTACATGGGAAGATAATATTAAAAGGATCTTAAAGAAAATAGCGGCAGAGTGTTGACTAGATAAATCTGACTTACGATAGAGTCCACGCTTTTGTGAAGACGGTAATGAACCTTTGGGATTTATAAGATGTTAAGATTTTGTAGAACGACTGAGCGACTGTCAGCGTTTTAAGGATCTCGCTCCATGAATTTAATTTATTGTGTGTTACAAGTGTTCATGTGCGCATGCGTAATGATCCGACGTCAGACTTCCTGTTTTTGTAGGAATGAAAAAATGTTTTCTCTTACCTGAGGGCGAGGCTGTCCTTGTGGTATCTCTGACAGTGGCGTGTTCATTGGGAACCCGAAAGGGCAGTGTGTCTGTCATTCGTCCAGGATGAACCTGGGTGTCTCATTTAGCAAGGTTACTAGCTCCCGAACTGGACCGTAAGAGTTCGATTCTTGGAAAAGACGCTCCTATTCAAGGGACAGCGGGAAACAAAATTTGTCCGAGGGATAAAGCGGCCGTAGCTTCAAACTAAACACTCATTTGTATATTTCTGCTTACAGTTTTAGAGATCACACATATTCACCTTTAGAGTTTGATTGTTGCTTTCACAGTGCTTGCAGCAGTTCATGTGACTACCCGCTTCGTACGAGAGTCGGAGAAGTTGCCGGGCTATCAGGGGATAATTGGTTCTTTTGTAGGGAATGTGTACTGGGAATTTTTTCCCGCTGGAGCGAGTGGTGTATAAGAGGCATGTGGGTAAATTTGCGCGCAGTACATGTTAGAGATAGGACATGGGAAGATTAAAAATACTGGACTGAAATAATTCCCCGAATATTGTCTGGTCTTAACTCTGTCATGAATGTAATTTTGATTTGTTCCGACATTTCTCAATTTCTTCGAAGTTCGTCGCGTTTATGAAGGATTTGTTTAGCTGATGTCTCTCTTATCGTGAATCTGTTCTGCCAGACTTGCGAAGACCGAGAGGGCGAACACAATGGCGATGCGGATCGCTTATATTTTAACCTTTCCCGATTTAAGTCTCAGGTAAGGGAGCGTTTATTTTTTCGCCAGAGACTTTTCGTGCAAGTTCTTCGATCGAAATATGACATAATCCGTGAAATAGATTGCCGATTGCTTCTCAGTCATCTTTTAGTTCTATTTCCCGATACAAAACCTTGCAGTTGTTACAGTGGTATTACGTAGGAAGGGGAGTTGACAGGTGTTTCGGAAGGCCAGCTAGGTGTCACGGCTCTGTACCTGACAGAGATGATTTAGTGACAACGCACTCCCTGCGAAACTCAAGGAAACCTTCTCACCTTTCACAATAATTTTCTATTTTCTCTTTCCTTCTTATATTCGTTCTTTAGTTATCCCTTTTTCTTCATTATCTTCTCTCCTGCTTTCTATTTGTTTCTCTGGAATGTCCTTATGATCGCACGTAATTGTTTTTGTACGGTAGATTGACCTTAGCGGGTTATGAATGCCGTCCTCCACTTCTAACACCTTGCGCGGGCGTCCTCTGCGGACATGCCTTCGCTATTTTATTCCCGACACAGAGGGAAGGCACCTCCAATGGACACAGCCTGTCCTGATTAAGATTCTCCTCAGTCTCCCCAAACACAGCCTTTGGCAGTAGACTACTGTAGTTAATGAAAAACCTTCTTCAAAGCCAGAACTCGTCGTTACGTTAAATAGACCGAATTAAAATGAGATCTCGTGAGTTCTGGCATGCGCGTTCGTCCCCACTCAGAGCAGACAGACAAATATTTATTTCAGGTACAAAGAGAGAAGTGTGACGCTGATACAGATTCCAAAGATCAAGGACAGAGGCGGCTTTTTTTTTTTGTATAACCGATGGCACGCGTAGGACCGAAAAGGGGAAAATCCCAATGACCTTGAAAACACAAAGAATCGCTCGCGGATGGAATTATAAAATTTCAGGCGGAGAAAACATCGGGAGTGTATCCATTATTGCGTAATCTACCAAATATAATTATATCATCAACTCTCGAAATCAGACAGGAGGAGGGGGGGTGTGTGAAAGAAAAGATAATCACAATTTAAAACCTGCTTCGAAAATGTGAAAAATTCGAAGGAAGGTACAGCACACACCAAAAATTTCGTTTGTGAAGAAATTAAAAGTGTAGATTAAATTAAGAAAATGGTTTGCTGCTATGTACTACAGAACTTTTTCTGTCCTTCCCTCTTATATATATAAAAACGTAAAGTTTAAAATTAACGCAATTATAATTCTACGTGCTGTTATCCATGGTTGGCGTCTTACGTTAAAGGAAAAACAAATATCTTCGATGGTGTCTGAGAACAGGGTTCTGAAGAGAAAATTTGGACTTGAGAAGGAACAAAATGACAAAAGACTGTACGATGGGGGGGGGGGCTTTATTATTCGCACTCTTTAAAAAATATTGCTAGGATGATGAGATGGGCGGGGCATGTAGCGCGAACGGAGGGGTGAGATAAGAAACGCGTCCAAAATTTTAGTTGCGAAGTCTGCAAGAGAAGAGACCACTCTAAAAGACCTGGAAGTAGATGGCTGTTTAAACCGAATCTGATAAAAGGGTGGGATGCTGCAGACTGGACCAATTTGGCTTAGGATACGGACCAGTGGCAAGCTCGCGTGATTGGATAAGCAACTGTCAGATTCTCAAGATTTCTTTTCATGGAGGTAATTCCAGACAGCGTTGGTTGCTGTTTGAATCATACGAAACCACATAAATACAAAATGAAGAGTTACCGATAGTTGAAGAAAGTGGTACATATAGTTACCACTGGGCTTTAAAGGCTAATCTACAACGATGCAGCCAATCATCGTATGATTCTGTGCAGTGGAAGGAAGACCTCAAGTGCGTACCCACGGAGGGTGTGGTCCTGTAAGTGTTCGTCAAGGTCGTCCTGTCTCGTTACGCAAGTGTTTAAGTTCTGCTTCACAACAAAATGTTTACAAAGATGGAAAGAAACCTATGAATACAGTAGCCGTAACTATTACAGTTTCCTCTAGCCTGGTTTTCTTTTCGTTTCGTAGCCTTGAACAGAGGAATCCGACCGATTTTAACAGAAAAAGATTTACAAGGTCGGCTTGAACCAGCCTGTGGCTGCAGTCGAGCAAAGCCGTAGGTTTCAGTGTGGCGAGTGTCATTGGAGGAAACCTTGCTTAACTACGTGTTTCAGTATCGAAAAGCAAAATGCCAGATATGCGAGGACGTGGGTTGCATTCCTGAAGATGAGATGGGTGGGGCATTTAGCACGCACGAGGGAAATGAAAGATGTGTACAAACATTGGGTAGGGAACTCTCGACGAGGCAGCCTAGACATATTTATTTATTTATTTAGTGTTCTGTCTGACGACAGGTCCATATGAACAGGATCCTTCCATCCTTTTCTCGGACTGGGACCTGTTCATATACGTTCTTGGCAGATGATCCAGAAGTGGTTTGCCATTGCCTTCTTCTGTGTGTGAATGGAGTAATTGTTGGGATGCCACGGAGGAAAACTCCGTGTTGCCTAGACCACGGCCTTGCCCAACACAAGTTATAAATTCGAACCCGAGACCCCAGGAGTACAAGGCCAGCGTTCTAACCGCTAGACCACCGTGGCAGTCCCTAGACATATACAGGAAATTAAAACAGATCTTAGGGATTCATATGGCTCAGGATAGTGATGAGCGGCAGGTTCTTGAGGACACAGTGATGGACCATGTGGGGAATTTCTTCTCCTATGCATTATGTTACTGAAAGAGGACTCTGGTTCATGGGCTTAGTCTTCAGATCTTAAAAATGCCTTCCATTATTAATCCAGCGGGTTCTCTGCATTTCATCCATACCTTATTACTGCTTGCGGGAAAAATGAAATATCATTTTAAATATCTGCAAATTTTATCACATAACGAAATGAATAATAACTTTATTCTCTCCTATACATGGAGATGGTAATATTTACATTATGTTGTTATGTGAGTGTAGACTGATACAATACAGAGTCACATGAATGAAGTACCTAAGCTTACGGACTTTCGTCCGTCAATTAATTTATATATGTAATGTCAGGTTAGATAAAGTACCAAAAGTTTCAACACCGGAAATAACTTCATAAATGAACCGCGAAAGATAATGAAACGAGCATAAACTAATAGTCTTCAATTAGAAAAAAATGTTTCGTGGCGAAATTCAGGAAAAAAAAAAAAAGTACCTGACGTGATTCGGAGCGGGAAAAAAAAATCCCAAAGATTTGAACTAAATTTTTAACATCTATTTAATCCTGACATTTTGTAACAGTGACGAAAGTACATCATAGCTGCACAGGCAATGCTACACGCTACCCTACATCATACCCTTTTAAAATTAATCGTAGACTGAATACACATAAAAATAAACCGAGCCGTTAGACAGACAGCCGTCACGGTTCATATCAACAAGTTATGTGAAACAACAAAATATCTAGAGATTACTTTCAGGTGCCAAGTAAAACAGTAGATATCACATTACGTGAAATATTGCTCGTATGCAAGGCTTCGTGTGTTTAAATTTAACTAAGACTAAGATTATTTACGCTGCAAGGCAAATGGACATAAGTCCCCAGACAAATACGTCCACGTTGAGCGAAGACTCCACTTCTACGCCCGATTCTGGAAAGAGCCTCACTCAATCTCTTCCCAACCATCTCTTTTTAGTTCTACTTTTCCCTTACAAGATCTAAAAGTTCAGTAACAGCGTTAAGTTTGTCGATAATCTACAGAAGCCGCGTAATAATTCTGCAATAAGAGTGAATCACAACGCTAAGTGGTTTGGGGGGGGGGGGTGCTAAGAAACCAGACAGTTTCACATACGGGGTTTAATGCCGTTTGCCACAGAACAGGACGATCATCGTCCCGGAATCTGAGAGCAGAACTAAACAAGTACATCCTTAAACACGGGGTCGATTCTGCAAATTCTTCTTCAGACAAATGATGGGTTGAAATTGAAGTTTAATTTGTTGCTCACTCTTGTTGAAGAGTGACAATGAGAAAAGCAGGACAAATGGTCACTCCTATTTAGCACACAACACATACGACATACACGCGCGCACTCGTACGCTCACACAAATAAATACGAGGCTAGAGAAATTTAACGAGCAGCAAGGTCACTGCGCTAATTGGAATGATCCCAACAAAACAATGTTTCGCTTACGTAGCAGAGAGCACATGCGCCATTCACAGTAAACTATAATCTAGCATTAACCATCGTTCAACAAATGAAAACCACGAACTATAAAAAGTATCCCTTGAATATTCAAAGTACGCAGAAAAGAGGCACGGAAATTGTACACATACTACTTCCTTCTGGTCTGTTTTTACCGAGATGAACGCGAGCTCTGATAGTCTGTGCGCCTTCTAATCCATATTAAAAATTTACTTGGTTCAAACAAAACTTCCTACACTGAACTGTGGATCTATAAGACTACTTTATGTCATGAATCATACGAATGAATTTCAAAAAAATAAAAATCCAAGAAAAATTATACGAGTTACGACGGGAAAACAAAAAAACGCATGAGGCGTTAAATGTCTCGTAATTTTCCAGTCTGAGTTCATGCTGACTTTATTTATTTATTGCTTTGTATGTATAATGCCACAGAATGTTCAGTTTAAGAACTAAGGCATTATTTTGTAAATGCTCGATCAAGTCCGAGAGGGGCCCCCCCGTTAGGTCCACGCAGTTTAATACGTGACAGAACACCAGGAACAATTTAATTTCTTTCACTCGTAGAATTTAGTTTTAAGAGTCCCCAGCGGCCCTGAAAGATTCGTCATGTTACCAGTTTACGTGACGTGACATAGCACAGTCAGCGGTCCACTTTGCGGTAGCCATTGCGCGTGCGAGACAAATTTTTCAAGCATGAAATTTGAGTCTCTGAAATAATATAATGCTGTACCGGCGGCAGAAAAGTCGCCCAGATCTCACACCTCGCGTCTTCGATTTTCACCCGGCAACGAATATGTTTAATTTACAGAATAATTTCTAGATTAGCTGAACAGTACCAAACTTAATCACGGCCGCTCTTATTTTTTTCGCAATAAGTAATCCTACCAGGGTCGAGATATGCGATGGCCAAACACCTTAGTGGCGCGCCATCATATGATAAAATTATCTGCTGTCAGACGAATTCATCTGCTTACTACCATGAGGGAAATATAGTGAATGGTGAATATTAAACTGTAACATTAGTCGGGAACACTTCCCGTCTAGTCCGTTCAGTCTGCTTAGTAGGTCA